GGTGTGCCCAGAGATGGCCTATATGTTGGTCATCACAGGACCACCTAGCTAAGTGTGGAGTTCATTACCATGAGGTGGGCCACACAGGGGGGTGGGGAGGTGACACCATAGAAACTCATAATGGTCATTTATTAGGACTGGATTTCTTAAACTGGTGTCTGTTAACTTGTTTTAGTATTTTGGTATTTCAATATAATTCATTTCCTTTTTCATACTGAGTATTTTATTTTGTGCATTTTAAAACATTATTCTGAAGGAGTCCATAGGTTTCACCAGATTGCCAAAGGGACAGAGAAGTTGGGAAGTACCTTGGTGGAGGAAATACACTCATGAAATCATCTACCTTCTGTGATTGTGGTTGTTATTCAGTTGTCTCAGTCGTGTCCAACTCTTTGTGACCCCATTTGGGGTTTTCTTGGCAAAGATAATGGAACGGATTGTCATTTCCTTCTCCAGCTCACTTTACAGACGAGGAAACTGAGGCAGACAGAGTTAAGTGACTTGCCCAGGGTCACACAGCTAGTAAGTGTCTGAAGCTGGATTTGACCTCAGAAAGTTAAGTCTTCCTGACTCCAGGTCTGGCACTCTGTGCACTATGGCGCCACCTAGCTGCCCCTTCCTCTGTGATACTGAAAAAGTAAAACCCTACTTGCATTTCTAAAAGTATATCATTCACACAGTGGGTGATTCATCAGTCCTTATTGTTATTGTGATGAGGGTGAGATTTCTGGAAAGGCTCAGAATCTACTGAAATTCCTTTTCCTTTCTCTTCTAAAGAAAACAGAGAAAATTCTCTTCCAGGGCTATTAATTCTAAAGTAGACCAGATACAGCAGATCATTCATTTTGGGGGTTCAGAATCACACTGTAATAGAATTATATAACAGAATTGTACCATCCCAAGTTCATCACAGAAGCGGTTTGGTGAAAGGGAAAGAACGTAGGATTTGGAAACACAGGACCTGAGTTCAAATGTGAGCTCTGTTACTAACTGTGTAACTTTCGGCAAATTATTAAAATTCTGTTGGCCTCAGTTTCCTCATCGATCAAATGAGGAGGGGTTATGCTGAATGACCTTTACGGACCCCCTGTATGGTTTCCTCTTGGTCTAGCTCTACTATTCCATGAACACTGTAATCTTAGTGGGAAGGGATTTTCATTCATTGTTGGATACCCACACCAATCCTCTTTACTCATAATGAGGGAATCCTTTTTACAATTGTGGGTGTTCAGTCATTTCAGCTGTATCTGACTCTATGACTGCATTTGAGGTTTTCTTGGTAAAAATAGTGGAGTGATTTGGCATTTCCTTCTCCAGCTCATTTTACAAGTGAGAAACTGAGGCAAACAGGGTTAAATGACTTGCCCAGGATCACACAGCCAGTAAGTGTTTGAGGCCAGATTTGAACTCAGGAAAATGAGTCTTTCCTATTCCAAGCCCAGTGCTCTATCCTCTGTGGCACCACCTAGCTGCCCCCTTTTACAATAGGAGCCTCCAATTTATGTTCCCTTACTTCTCAAATCATGTTTATGCTTTTTCATTGTAACTTGTATCCACCGATAAGAATAATAGTTTCTTGAAATCAGGGAATGTTTCATTTTGTTTTTGGCCTTTGTACCCCTAAGCTTCTAGTTCAGTGCTTGGCACATAGTAGGCACTGAATCAATAGCTAGGCAATTAGGGGCACAATGGATTATGATAGTCTTGGAATCAGGAAGACTTGAGCTGGAATTCTGCCTGAGATACTTACTAGATGTGCGCCTCTGGGTAAGTCACTTCTCTTTCAGTCTCAGTTTCCTCATCTGTAAAATGGGAATAATAATAAAAGCACCTATCTCATAAGGTTGTTGTGAGGATCAAATAAAATAACATATGTAAGGCACTTTGCAAATCAGTGCTATATAAATGCTGATTATTATTATTTTATAATTATTACTATTAAGTGACTTCTTGAGGTTCACACAGCTAGTAAGTGCCAGAGGCTGAATTTGAATACAGTTCTTCCTGACTCCAGGTCCAGGGCTCTATCCACCATATCACCTAACTGCCAAGGGAATACTACAAGGTTGCCATAGCATCAAGAGATTTCTTGATAGTTTGAGAACAATAGCTGGGATTTATTTTTGTTTTTGAATCTGGGTTCCTGTTATTCTATTTTTTTTTAAATATTTATTTTATTCTGAACTTAAGAAATAAAACGAGCATTTCCATAACATAGTAGAAAAAAAAAGATGATTGCCCATGAAACTATAGATCTTTTATGTACAACTTGCTATTCCTTTTAAATATATAATAAAGTTATAATGTAACTTTCTTTTTTTCCCTTTCCTCCACCCCCCACTGCCCTCGAGATGGCTACCATTAAACACAAATATGTGTGTTTACATATATGTGTATGTATGTAGAATCATTCTATACATACTTTTTAGCTGGGATTTGAAGAATGCATCAGTGAGTTCAGCCCAGTGATCCCAAGTTAAGAGAATTTAATGGAATTGTAGTTATAGTTAGTAAGTTGTAGAGATAGTATCTGAAGTAAAATTCTGATTACAAATCTAGTGGTCTTTGCATTATACCCTTCTCTTTTTCTCATTTGATAATAAAAAGAAAATTGGAGGGACTTATTACTGAATGTTTCATTACTTTATATCTCTTCAGAAATCCTTCTCCTCCTGATTTCCAAAATAACCCTCTACAAATTGTATTGCCCTGACTTCCATATCAGTTTTAAACTACGTGGCTGTAAAATAAACTAGCATACCTATACATTACACACGACATTATATAACATTCAAAAAGAAGTAGTGAATATTAAGAATTCAGAAAAACATGGGAAGATTTATAGTAATCCATGCAGGATGAAATATGTAGAACCAAAATAAAAAATATAAAAAGTATAGAGCAATATAAAAGAAAAACTCAGGATAATGAATCTGAACTCCAAGTAACTTTAAAATGAATGAAAGACCTAGAGAAGAGAGAATGAAATCAAACTTCCTCTTCATGGTTGGGGAAACTGACATTGACATCTCCAGTGCACAACTCTCTCCTGAATTCTAGCACTGCACCCACAACTGCCTGCTTGACATCTCCATTTAGATGTCCTTTTGGCACTGCAAACTCAGTATGTATAAAAAAAGAGCTCATTATATTTCTGATTAAACCCACCCTAACTTCTGACTGCCCTGTATCTGTCAAAGGCAACACTATTCTTCCAGTCACACAGATTCTCAAACTAGGATTTATCCTTGACTCTTCATTCCCACTCCTGAACCCTTTTCCAATATTCAACCAGTAGCCAAATCTTGTCTATTCTACCTCCTCAACATCTCTCACATACATCTGTTTTTTTTTTCATTCATACCATATGTACCCTAATCCAGTCCAGGCCTTCTTCATCTCTTGCTGAGATTATCTTAAGTCTCTCTCTCTCACTCTCTGTCTTTGTCTGTCTGTCTATCTGTCTGTCTCTCTCTCTCTCCCTCCTTCTCCCTCTCCCCCCTCCCTCCCTCCCTCTCTCTCTCTCTCTGTCTCTGTCTCTCAACACTCTGCTTCTGTCTCTGTTTATGTTTCTGTCCTCTATCTCTGTTTTTTTTCTCCCTGACTCTACCGGTTTATTTGTCTGTCTCTGTCATCCATCTTTCACACAGATTTCATATGGTATTCCTAACTAATATTCCTAAAGTGCAGGTATGACCACATCACTCCTTGCTTCAGAAGTTTCAGTGACTCCTCTTTGCCTTTAGATTCAAACACAGACTTCTTTGTTTTGTTTTTAAAGCCATTCACAGTCTGACTCCAGCCCTTCTTCATATATACATACATATATACACACACATATACACATACATACATATACACATATACATATGTATATGTATGTATGTATGTATGTGTGTGTTTTGCATCACTCTCATGTCCATCTTTTTCCATTCGTCTACCCAATAAGCCACCCTTGAAACAAACAATAAAAAAAAGGCATGAGAGATAAAAAGCAGTTTGGCAAAAACAACACATCAATCCATTCCCCAAAGGGGAATCAATTGTGTGGGCATGTGTTTGGGGAAGAGTGTTCAGAAGTAAATGTGATGAATGTAAAGACAAATGTCACCAATAAAACACATCTATCCATATATCAGATTCAAAGAATATTAGAGCTAGAATTGACCTCATTTTTTTTCAACTATTCTCACTTAAATAAAGAAACTGAGGCCAAAACAGATTAGTGTCAAAGATAACATGGAGTAAGAGGTTGAGCCAGGCATAAACCCTAGAGCTGGTATCAGACATTCAGCTTAAAGAAAACCTGAAGATTCTATGAAGGTAGTAGGAATTGTTTGGAGGAGGTGGGGGTGGGGGTGGGGTTGAACTCTAACCTTCATATTTTGAGATTCCTAACAGTAACAGTGTGGGAAGTTAATGTCACCCTACACTCTCCCTTCAGCCAACATTCATGATTTAAAGCAATAAAGAAGAGAAAAAATGCTGTCAATATCAGAAGTCATTTCAGGGGGAAAAAGAGAAAGCCAGGACTCCTCCCAGTGGCTTTGAAGTCTCCCAACCTAAAGCAATTCTATCATGCCCTTTCCTTATAATTCCCTGTTTTTCACCTTGTAGACTTCTGTTCTAATAGGACTGTCTTCTTTAGGATCCCCCAACACATCCGATGCTTCATAAGTCACATCCTCAGATGTGCTGATGTGATAAGAGTTCCCTAACACAGGTTCTCCCTTGTCTATTTCTTTTCCTGTCCCCGACTTTCCTCTTTTCCCTTTCTTTTCTCTAATCCTACCCGATCCGACTCTGCTGATCTCAAATTTCTAGGCAATTAATTTTTTGGCTCTAATGCTCAATCAACAGGTGTGGCATGATTGACGTGGCCCTGATACGCTCCATCTGTTTGCTGCTGATAATGGAATCCCAGGGGCTTCTGGGTAATGTCTTCACACACTTAAGAGGAAGCAGCCTAATCTATTTGCAGGAGGGAGGGGAAACAGCCCGGCAGCTAGCATTGTTATTCAGCAGGAACAAACCAGTGATGCTGGCAGCACTTTTACAGGCACAGCGGGGAGGCTTGCCGGGAGACAATTTCTCCCTACTGTGAGTGATGATTCACCTAGTGCAAAGTTTTCTTCTTCCTTTGGGGGATGGGGCATGGGGCAGTAGAGAAAGGCAAAAGTGCTTCATACCTTGACAATTCCGAGAAGAAGAGGTAGACTTTTGCCTGTTGACACGGGCATCTGTCTGTTCAAAAGGAGGGTGGCTTTTCCTTTCTCATAGACAAATGAGAAGATGAGCTAGTGTGGAGGGGATGGTTAGATTAATCAGAATGCAATGGTGATGGAAATAAATAAAAACAGAAACAGGAGGGCTGCTGTCTGAGCAGCTGAAAGGAGCCTGCAGATTTGCCCTGAATGTAAATAACAGAACCTGATTAAGGGGGGCACCTTTTATCACTTCAAAGCACATACAGAAGGAGTTAGGCACAGGCTAGAAAAAGGCTATTTCAATAAGAAAGGGAAGCCAAATCCACTTCAATATTTTCCTTAAATTATTTCTGTTTAGCAAAGGGCTGTGGTGATGGTGTATGTGTATTTGGAAGGGAGACATCTGAAGCTTTAAAACATCAGGAGCTTTGTAACATGGCCTTCCTTGTTTATTATTTTGTCCCTCCAGATGCACCACTGAGCGACAATATAACCTCATCTGGACACACTCACCAGACTTTACTGAAAGAAGCAGTGATGAGTGAGGACTCTCTAAATTGAGGTTTGTTTGTTTGTTTGTTTGGGTTTTTTTTTGAGATAGTCCTTTGATTTACTCAGGCTAAAACATCTCTTTTCCTTCTCTCTTTTTCCCCTCTATGGATTTCACAAAATAAAATTCACCAACCCATTGTCCTCCTGGCAGCAGTCAACCATTCTATGATATCTAGGACCATTGCCCAATTTCCCCTGGGGGTCATCTACTGGAAAAGCACATCTATATGCAGATTTTGAAATCCCTAAAGATTGCTTGAGGGCAGTGGTGTATGAGGATGGGAACCCCTGCTAATAATGCTAATAATGACTGAAAATGACTTGTTAACCCTTTATGACGCTGTTTAGAACATATATTGATTTTTTTTAAAGCCCACATTAAAAAAAAAATCAGTTGCAGTCCCATTTAGCACCATCTACTGGAAAGAACCAGAAATACTTTGAAAAGCAGGAAATCAACTTTATGCCGTGAATCACAGTATCTCAGTAATAAGATCAAAAGAAAAAGAAATTGAATAAACTTAGGCGGAGAGGAAACAAAATTATTACTTTTTTGCAGATATGATGTTTTACTTAAGAGAAACCTAGTGTCAACTAAATGAAACAATTGTTTCAGCAAGGTACTAGGATATAAAATAAAACCAGAAAAATCAACATTTCTGTTATATATAACATATTGGTAACACATGATAATATATTGTAGTTGTTAATATTATATATATAATTTGTTACATTAAATATATGATGTATGGTTGTTAATATTAAATATAACATACAACATATAGTTGATTAAGGCTATTATATATGGTATAACATATAATATATGATTGGTAAATATAATGTGTTATATGTAATATTATGTTTAATATATGGTTGATTAATATTAGGTATTACTAAAACAAAATCCAACAGGATGAGAGAGAAAGAGGAATTCTAATTAAAGGAACTAGAGAATAGATAAAAATATTTTGAGCTCTACCTACCAATACTCACACAGGAATGAAATGAACACAACTACAAAAACCCTTTAAAGACAAGGCTAAATAATAGGAAAATTTTTAAATACTCATGGGTAAGTTTTCCAGGTTGGCCTGACTCAATCCAGTCCCCTGGTAGTTTAATTTTGATATCAAAGCAAAATGAGAAACTCATAGGTCATTCAACAATGAACAAAAAGACATTTACTTAGCCATATCTAGAGAAGGAAAAAGAATAGGTTCAAATCTGGCTTCAGACACAACACATACTAGCTGTGTGACCCTGGGCAAGTCACTTAACCCTGATTGCCTCACCAAAAAAAAAAAAAAAAAGAAAGAAGGAAAGAAAGAAAGAAAGAAAGAGAATAGGCAACCAGGATACCTTGGAGTGATTCATCTGAGTGAAGTTCCTTTGCCTGAGTTGCCCATCATGATCTACCAGCCAAGCACCAGCCTGTCCCTGAAGCTTCTCTTGGCTGCTGTATCCTCAGGAGAGCAGGAAGTGAGATGAATAACCTGAATCTTCTGTCCCCTGAGTCAACTAAGACTAATGCATGGTCTTGATGAGGTAGAAAGGAGTGCTTGAAGCAGATGGAACAAGCAGGATGTGAGATAGGAGATAAGATGCAGGATGTGACCAGCCAGAAAAGTGGTCAAAGAAGACTATGTGTGTTTTCACAAAGCAGCCTCAATTCCAGAACAACTCTTCCCCTCCCCTTTCTTTTTCTCTTTGCTTATCACCTTCAGACCGCCTGATATCCCAGGCATTTTGGAGCCATGCTTGCTCCTCCCATTCTCTGGTCCCCTTCCCTCTATTCCATAACATTGTATTTAAACCATACCTCTAACCAAGCTAACCATCTTTGCCTCCTATGGGAAGCATGGGCATTCTGCTCCCTTAGGGGAGCAGGCCTGTGGTCTATGCTCTGCCTCCCATGTGGAGTATTGGGGCTCTGCCTCATGGGGAGCAGCCCTGCTGGGGTGATCACCCCAATAAATGCCTTTCTTTAACTTGGAGACTGTCCAAGTGAATTCTTTCAGGACACTAGGACCCACACGTCTATTCCTTATCATTTCAAGTAGCACCCCAATGTTCTTGGGGTCTACTCTGAGCTCATCACCAATGGCTACATAGAAGATTTAAGTGAATTCTTTCACACCTGAACCACTCTCTCCCAGCTCTGACCTCAACAGTGTCATTATATTTTAAGGAAAAATTAGCCTAACTTACAATGGGGATAGGGGTTAGGATATTGTTCTTACTAAAGAAGGTCTCACCAATAAAACACAAATGATAATACTATGCATGTTTTAAAATTTTATTTAGCACCATACCAATCAAATTACAGAGGGATTACTTTCTATAACTAAAAAATAATAATGAAATGTATCTAGAGGACTATAAGGTCAAGATTCTTAAGGGAAACAGTGAAAAACATTGGGAAGAAAATATTTTTAAAAAAATAGTAACAACGTTTCTATAATGTTTAAGGTTTGCAAAGTGCATTACTTACTTATTATTATTTGAATCTCAATAACTCTATGAGGAAAGTACTAAACATATTGTTAATTATTTATAAATGAGGAAATTGAGGCTTGGAGAGACATTTTGATTAAAGCAATGACATCTAATTTATAGTCACAAAACTATTGTCATATATCAATTACTTGGCATTCAAAAGGTTCATCTGTTGACATGTTAATGATACCTTTTTGTTTAAATGATGCTTTATAACTTTTCAAAATAATCTTAACATATATGATTTTATTTGACCCTCATAACATATGTGTAGTATAGGCAGGACATGCATTATTAACCCCATTTGACAGAGGAAGAAAAGATACAGAAAGGTAATTTGTTCAAGGTCAAGTTAAAGTGAAAGTCATGAATTCAGTTTTCATTATCCTAAATCTACCTCACGCTTCTTCTATTTATAAAGTTCTCGATTTGACCAGAGCACAAAAAAAAAATGATTCACAAAAATCATCAATATTTACTGAGTACCCCAAAGTCATGGATATCCACTACAATCATAGAGTCAATTTGTGGCTTATTACTCTGGCTGAGATTTCCAAAGATGATCAAGGGATAATAATAACTTACATTTATATAAGGCTTTATGGTTTACCAATATAAATGACTCTACTTCTGTACTGGATTCCATGGGATAAAACGGTTAGCAGAAAGTACAAAAATTCAGAGGGATAAAGCAACAGTCATACTATTTGCATAGAAAGGAAGGGGACAAACATGGCAACATCAGTTCTGACATTTGGTAGACTTATGCTTTTATAACAACTTGCCAACTGTGTATAAATTACTTTGATAGGCACTGGGTATACAAACATAAAATGAAAAATAATGCTTTCCTTTTAACCCTGCTTGTTTATTGGAGAATGGAAGTAAATGTTTTAAGTGAGCCCCCTTTTTTTTCTGAACATCAGTAAATATGAGATCTGTACGCTAGGCTCTCTGAGATATAAGTTCTTCAGCTTCCTGACAGCTGGAAGATCAGTTAAACATTGCCTTAGAAGATATGTAAAACAATAACCAGTAAAAAATATTTTCCCATCCATCCACACCTTCTTATTTCAATGGTTCTCTTATTGACGTGGTTCTGTGGATTGCTTCTTCTCTTCGCCAAATAGAGTTCAGTGTTTCATAGTGGACAGATTGCTACATCTGGGGTCCAGGGACCTGGGTTCCAGATCTGGTTGCCCACTGACAACTAGTAAAACTTTGAGGAAGTCACTTCACCTCTAGGACTTCACAGTCTTCATCTATAAAATAAAGGGTTTGGACTAGCTGGTCTTGAAGGTAGCAGCTAGTTCCAAAGCTATGATCCTGTAGTCTTGTGTCTCATTTCCCTAGGCCCTTCTACAGTCCTCTCCAAGAGGACAGACAACTGCTCTTGATGAGCTAATCTTACTAATTTGTTAGAGGCTGATAATGGTTTAGGGCAGTGGTTTTCAGAATTTTTGGTCTCAGGATGCCAAAGAGCTTTTGTTTGTGCGAGTTATATAAATAATAGGATTATTATGAAGACTTTTAACCTCATGGACCCCAAGAAGTGGTCTCCAAAACCCCCTTGGAGTCCACGGATGACATTTTGAGAACTGCTAGCTTACGACATTTCCCTTCCCAGGTAACATGTACAATGTATTAAGGTTCTCCTGGAATCACAACACTTTAGCCAAAAAGAATGAGAACTTTGTTGGGTTGAAGATTTAAGCACCCAGACAAGACATAGAGGCATAGGCATAACTGTGTAATTTTACAAAATCACTGAGTTTCATAGTTGGAAGGGAAATCATAGTCCACAAAAGGAATTCCCATTGTTATTACTGTCAACAAGTGCTTCATCATCTTCTGCTTGAAGGCCTCCAAGGAGAGTATCTACTCAGTGTTATGTATACAATACATGCTTAGTAAGTATCCATTGAATAGACTTGAACTTAAATCCGGCCATGCAAGCTGATAGCCAACGCCATCTATGTCAAAGACCAGCACAGGCTTGAATCTCAATTTACTTCATATAAGTTCTTTTTTCCTAAGGTTTCGAAGACTAAATCAATAAAAGGTTATCTTGTATGTCTGTACAAAGAAGCCACATCATTTCACAACTAGTGAGATAACTGGGGCAGGCTTACTAACATAATAAAACGTTAGCTTCTGATCCAATCCAATGGCTCCTTGTAGAGACTGCCTGAGCAACTTTGGGGAAGAGTATCAAAAAGTTTGAAAACCTACTAACTCTTTTAAGCCACTAGGGATCATATCTTTGCTGCCATTGGAAGTGACTATAATTCTAATTGATAGTATATTGAAATTGATAATTAATCTAAAAAATTTAAGTAGAAAAAGTTTAGTAATATGTCCATGAATTATAAAACCCTAAGTATCTAGAGTGATAAAGTGAATTTAAAGCTTAAGACAGCTAAACCCTTACTGCCCCATTGCCTTTCTATTGACAAAGACTTAACATAGTGTGAGAGTAAGTGATAATTGATGCATAGTCTAGTAGTATGTATA